GAAAATCAGTTTTGCTCACTCATTCTTCAGTTTGTAGCCTTCTGATCATATTGGAACCACCCCAGGGGAGAGAGACACTGCATTCTGTGGCAAGACAGGTACTGCATTTGTTGTGGAGATTAAGGAAAGTGCCCACATAGTGTAATTGATGTTTCCTGGCTTTGGAAAGAGCAGTGTGACACTGTTGTTGTGTATTTGACTGTGTCATGGTCATGATAGAAGCTGCCTCTCTTCCTCAGTTAGTATAACAAGAAAAGTTCAGTAGCTGTGGAAATCACGCCAGCGTGTGACCCCCAGGGCATTAGCAGTGAGAATAGGAGTGCATCCTCTGCTGAGAGTGCTGTGTGGCACCCCTAACGAGAGCTTGGTGCAGGAAACTCCCGCAGAAGCGAAAGTGCCTCTCTGCCTTGCACATGAGAAGCCTTTTCGCAAGTGAGCTGCAGCAGCCATGTGAGACGTGTGAAATCTGCACCCCGTGACCAAGGAGCCGGAACTGACCACCTAAACGGAGGTGGCGTCCACGGGCCGGTACGACACTCCGCCCCCCTCTCTTTCCCTCTCTCCCGTTCTGCCTCCTGCTCCCTCTATCACTGACTCCCCCTCCCTCCTTCCCGTTCATGCTGGATTGCCTCAGTCCAGAGTTGCTGGCTTTTAGCCCCGGCGAGCAGCTGTGGCTCTCGGCTTGGTTGCCCTCGGGGCCACACCCACATGCAGGAACTCCCCAGCACCTTCTCCGGCTGCACCCCTGCTGGCCCGTGGGGGACTCGAACTTAGGGGGGGCCCAGGCGAGGCAAGAGCTGGTGGTGATTTGGTTCGATCCGTCCGTGAGCCCCGGGTGAAAAGCCATGTTGTCGCCCGCGATGTGACCGCCCTAACATGATGACCCTGGATGGCCTGGAGATCATCGCGGTGCTGGTGGTCGCCGCGCTCTTCGTCAAGGTGCTGGAGCAGTTCGGACTCTTCGAACCCGTAGGAGGGGAAGGTAACATCATTTCGGTGCCCGTTTTCAGTCCTGTGAGAGCCACTCGTGCCTATAGGCGAGAGACTCATCCAGCTGCACGTCTGTCTGGTTCTGGGCATCTTCTCGTCTGCAGTTGTGATAGATGTGCTGCAGTTTGGAAGGAAGTCTGCGTTGAGGAGAGTTGGGTTGGGAGGACACTGCAGACTCCTAATTGCTGATTACCGATGGTGATGTATGGGGATTTCGAATTTGATAGACGGTCTTAAAGTGGACCAGCGAGAGGTTTCGGGTTTCTGGTCTTGCAGCCAGTGGTGCACTGATGGCACGATAACGACGTGCGAGGCTCCATTACAGGTATTGCCCCGGTGTCTGTCGCGGTGAGCGGAATAGCCACGTCTGGGAGAGCCCTGTGCCCCTGCAGTGGGCTCCTGTGGTCCGAGGCCAGCCTGTATGGGGGGGGGGGGGTATCAGGGTACAGAGGGATTGTGTCGTGAATAATTTATTACTGTGTGTGAGTGTAAGTTACAGAGCTGAGCACCAAGGCGTCTGCTAGCAGGACGGTCCAAAGGGTGTTGGTGCTTTTATAGCTTACAGCACTCGGACCATCAGCCGCTGCCGCGTCGTGTCACTGCGCTCGCCTGCGGCTGCTTCCTGGGCCAGTGCTTCCGTCCAGTGGCCGCCAGTCTCCCATCATTCCCTGCTGTCTTGAGGCACGTATTTATAATTGTTGTAAAGTGGCATTCGCATGGTGGACGTGACATATTAGCGCCCAGGCTGAGTGGAAAGCATGCGGCGTGCTTTGTGGTTGTCATTCCCCCACATGACCCGTCCTTAGCTTTGTCTCACACTGAGATTGCTGCCAGTGAAGGGCAGTGGTTGTGGGGTAGCCGCTTTGTGCCCCCCAGTGGACCAGCAAGGATGTCCCCCAGCTCTAAGCATCCCCATGAACAGAGGGCTTGGTGCTAAACATGTGACTCAGGTCCATAGGTCATGTGATCTCTACTAGGCCTGCACTGGACGCTCTGGCCAGCAGGACACATCCTCGATACATACTTAGGCTGAATCATCAATCATATATGAGTCTACTAGTCTTATTTTTACAAACAGTGATTTAGCAAAAGGCAAATTAGGTTGATCTAAACTGAATTAAACTATAACGGTGGCTAACATCATAAGGGATTAAAAGTTGTGAGGAAAAAGTAATGACCTGACAAGGATGAAGGACCAGAAAGTCCTGAGGGGGCATATAGAAGAATGTAAACCTGCTGGAAGCCTGTGAGTTGTGGTCCGGGGTGGTGCCCTGTCTCGCTGCCCCTAGGTGCTGGGTATCTGGGTTTGGTGAGCCCTTCAAAAAGCCGGAGCACACAGAGGCTGCTTCTGTTCCAAGTTTCAATGGGGCTGTTGGATGTCCACCAAGTGGTAACACTGCTACTCGGTGCCCCCTGCTGTTTGGGTCCCTGCAGTGCATTTTGTCTTATTTCTTTAATGATCCATCAATGTGATTATATGGATGAGATCTCCACCAGCAAAAATGCTTGCATAATAATGTTGTGTAATGTCTTAAACCCGTAGGAATGTGGAAGGTTTTCAAAGCTGGTACTTAATGCCCATGCAGAACACCGCAGCAGCATTTTATAACACACTCCATGTTTCTGCGTGTCAGTGTGTTTTTGGTAGTTCTTCCTCTTTGTGTGTGTGTGTGTTGCCTTTAGAGGGTGCCGGGTGCTCCGGGACTCACAGGACTTTGTGGGAGATTGACTCTTTCACGGGGGGGGTTTTAATACGCTGCCACACTCATGACGTGGATTTGAGTTTGTGCGGTTAACCTTTCCGGGTGGTTTGGGGGAGGTTTCTGTCCCGTCCCAGTGGGCAGCCGGCCGGGTCATCCAGTAGGGAAACAGATGCTCGGTGTGACATGTTCATGTGAAGGTGAATGACAGCCTAAGGGCTGTGTGTGTGTGTGTGTGTGTGTGTGTGAGAGAGAGAGAGAGAGAGAGAGACCATATATATAATAGATTGTGTAGACCAAATGTCCCCACAATGTGATAAAAACCTGCTATTCTGACTACAGTATGTGTGGATATTTTTTTCAGTCCCCACAAGGGGAAATTCAATTTTATAAAAACCCGTGACTACAATTTTATTTGATTAATGTTAAGGTTTGGGCTGGGTATGGGTTAAGGTTTTCAGTTGGGATTAGGGATATGCCCATAGGAATGAATGGAGAGTCCCCACAATATAGATACCTAATGTGTGTATGTGTGTGAGGCCTGAGGGTGTTGCAGTGTGATCCAGGAGTCAGGAGGCACTCAGAGCGGCTTTCTGTCCTCCACCCCAGGGGACGCTTAGTCCAGCTTGGTCAGCGTCATCACCGTGGTTCTGCTCCTTCCCTCACCCGCTCACTCCCGGCTGCAGAAGTTCATACGACTCCACAGCATTTCACTATCTTCCTTTCAGCTTTTTAAACCAGCCTTAAACCCATATTGTGACTTTTAAAATGTTGTTCTGTCCATCTTACCACCAACACAATGTTGGGTCTCCGGTTTGCTGAGTCAGCGGAGAGACAGACCTTCAGAAAAGTCGGCCCAGAGGAAGTGCTCTCTTCTCCAAGGAGAGCTGTGAGGCCCTGGGGAGGTAGGGACATGGATTTGGGGACAGCGAGCGGCCGGTGGGCGGCTAGGCAGACAGCCATATGCGGGACATGCCTGTGCATGTGAAGCCGGGCAATGGGCCGAGCCCCCCCCCCCCCCCCCCCAGGTACAGCCAGAAAGCGGCGTAATCAGTGAATGCGACTAGACTGTGACTTGATCCACCCTATTTTCGGCATGCCCGTTCTGTTGCTCTTATTGTGCGGAATCTGATCTTAACTAGATTACACCCAGATAACGGGATTTTCCCAGGAAAAGAGACGCGGCAATTGATTTTGTCTGTTTTTGTGTCCGAGGTCTATTTCCAATCATATGTTTTAGGTGTAACTGGATATGCAGTGATGGACCGAACACACACACACACACACACACACAAAAAAAAATCTACTGTTTGCAAGAAAACATGCTGCATGGCTGGGCCTCCGGTCGAGTCCCGGAGGAATCAGAAACCTGTTGGGTTTATTAACATTCACAGATTAAAGAGGCAGCATGACCACCCTGCTGGGCACTTTGTGTATCTTTCAGTCCCTCAGGGATGCTGACTTTGAAGCTGGGGTGCAGCACCCCTCTCAGTGGGAGTCTGTGAGTAGCGCTTTTGCTTTCTGTAACTGGAGGAGAGCACACATCGTCATGGAAGAGCCACAGAGAGTCATGTGATGTTGGTGCTTCTGTGACCTCATCACACAGCTGGAGTGCAATTCCTCACGCTTGCCATGACTGGGTTCATGGTTTTAATAGGAAAAAAAAAGGTATAGGTGCTGCTTGGTTTGTCCTCGTTTGTCCTCATTAGACACCAGCCCGATTCCAGAAACACGGTCGTAAACCAAAGCAGCTTCTGCAGTTTGCCATTTTTCTCAGAGTAGATATACTGAAGTGGGTCAGCTGACTGAGGTCACTCTCCACCGAGGGTACACGGTGTTGTACTTCCCGAACAGCCTTTGATTCCGTTCTTGATTCGGTGTGCATTCCTCAGCCGGTGGCCTCCATTGCTGATTATAACATGTTGAAAGCCGGGATGGCAAACATCTCTTTCTGCTGCATGTCCTGCTTTCCCCGCCCGCTGCTGCCCTTGTTCTCTGATGCATGTCTGTGTCGGGTCTCCATGATGCCTCAAAGGGGGCTTGTGTAAAGGCTGGGCTGCGTATGTCTGTGCTGTGCAGGTCTGTGCTGTGCAGGTCTGTGCTGTGCAGGTCTGTGCTGTGCAGGTCTGTGCTGCATGGCTATGAGCACAAGCCGGCTCACACTGTGCTGTCCTCCTGCCTCCCAGTGTCCAGGCATGTGTGAGTGCTGCTTGCTCCTGCTTGCTCCTGCTGCTCCTGCTGCTCCTGCTGCTCCTGCTGCTCCTGCTCCCGATCTTTTCTAACTTCTCTGCTGTGGTTGGTGACTTGCAGGTCATCCACCCTCCAGCCAAAGCAAAAAAGCCATAAAGCAGAGATTCCTCAAACTGCTGCCCTGCTGCAGGCCCAGTTCCACCCCCACAGTCAGTCAATGCAAGTGTTTCTCTGCTTCCTTTCCCTCGTCTGTCTCTGGTTCACTCCTGCACACTTCCTCCCTCCCCAGTTTATAGAGCGCACCATACAGGTGCCCACTTGTGTTAGATTGATAGTGTGCGGGGGCCAATGAGCATCGCTGGTGAAAGGTGTGATGGGAAGTAAAGGTGCTTTGAATGACCACATCTGGGTGGGTGTTTTAAAGGTGGCCGGGGCAGTGGCCCAGGGGAGGTCCGTCAGTGTTAACTGAGTAGTTGGATACAAGTTGTTGGGGACATTGGTTATCATGGCAGTATTAATGTTACTACAGCCCAGATAAGAAGATCAAGCTTGTGCACTCGGCCCCACCCCAAACTTCATTTTGGCACTTCATTTACTCCCTCGTGATCTCCAAGTTCATGCCTTACTTCAGTGTTTCCCAACTCAGTCCTCGGGGAACCCTGGACAGTCCACGTTTTTGCTTCGTCTCAGCTCCCAGCGCACTTGTACCAGATATTCGGTGTTCCTGATTGGCTGGGAGCTGGGAGGGAGCAAAAATGTGGACTGTCTGGGGTTCCCTGAGGACTGGGTTGGGAAACACTGCCTTACCCTTTTAGTAAAAAAATAAGTGATCAAATGTGATGTATCGGGCAAGTGCCATTTTGAAGTAGAAATGTGCTTCTGTGGTCATGGGCAAGTTCTTTTAGTCATTTGCTTACGGTACATGTGGCTGAAGAGCAGACCACTAAAAGGGAGCAGGCTGGCTCAGAAAACCATCAGGACAAGTCTACCTCTTGCCTCTGTAGTTTTACAGATGGTTATGTGATGGTTATTGTGATGTGTCATAGTTTAACAAAAGCTTGACTGCCCCGATGGCCAAAGTGTAGTTTTTAGTAATGTAATTCTCTTGTAGTTCGGACCACAGCATTGTATTTCACATCTAAAGGATGATAAATTAGAAGAAACCAAGCTCACTTATGCTGGACGTTCACAGTTGTGGCTATGATTGCGGCCGGACTAGGGGAGGAAGTGTCAACAGGGTTTGCTAATGGCCTAATGACCGGATGTCATGATGCCTCCCGATGGTTCCTCTGTAAACGTGACCTAGTGTCTTAGACAACATGGTGAGACTCTTTGATGGTGTGTTAAGGTGCTCTCCTGCCCCCACAGACAGCCTTGAGGACGACTTTGAGCTCTCCACCGTGTGCCACCGACCTGAGGATCTAGAGAAGCTGCAGGAGCTGACGAGGTTCACCAAGAAGGAGCTTCAAGTCCTCTACCGGGGCTTCAAGAATGTGAGCGTCTCCTCCGCACTTTCACCGCCTCCCTTAGCTGCGCAATTCCGCAGAAGCGATGATGGCGTTTCCAGGGAGTGTGACCTTGTGCCATGTGCCCCGCAGGAGTGTCCCAGCGGAGTGGTCAACGAGGACACCTTCAAGCTCATCTACTCCCAGTTCTTCCCCCAGGGTGGTGAGTGTCCCCTGAACCAGCTGTGGCTGCTGTAGCCCAGCCTGTGTGCTCCAGCCTCCAGATGGGAATGAGCAAGATGCCGCAATGCTATGCAGCGCCACCTTCTGATGGGCGGAAAATATCACATTGACTTGTGAATAAGCATAATTGCCAGGAATGGGGAAGAACTACTCTAGTTATGTTGCTTGGGCTCTTTGTACTCAGTGATTTCTTGGCTTATTTCTTGCATTATATGGACAATATGCTCCTTTCTTCTAGATTCCAGTACATATGCACACTTCCTGTTTGAAGCCTTTGACACTAACAAGAATGGGTCCGTCAGTTTTGAGGTGAGACCTTTTCAGAAGGCGTTGCAGTTTTATTGCCATAGTTCATCATGCTTGTGTGATTGCATTTGTGGCTCCTCCTAAGCGGATATCCCTGCTGTTCTGTCTTCTCTCTCCCAGGACTTTGTCACAGGCCTGTCCATTATCCTTAGAGGATCTATCAACGACCGTCTCGGCTGGGCTTTCAACCTGTATGATCTCGATAAAGATGGCTGCATCACCAAAGAGGTACCTTTCCTCGCAAGCAGACACACACACACGTGGCGGCCCGGGGGTTAGTCTGGGTTCAGTTGGGACCGTGGGTTTACTGGTGTGCTGCCACTTCACAGGAGATGATGTACGTCATGAGGTCCATCTATGACATGATGGGGAAGTATACCTACCCCTGTTTGCATGCGGACACCCCCAGGGAGCACGTGGAGAGTTTCTTTAAGGTGAGAGCCTGCTGCCCACACAGACACTGAAAATCTCTGGTAGGGCCTGTAAAGTTGTCCCTCGTGGCCGCACTGTGCCATAGCTCTTGCGTTGCTTCTCCCTTCGGTTTTTATAGATATTCAAACCGCCGCTGATGCTTTGCGCATGGTGCCTCGAAAGCTCTTTGCCGGTTTCACCGAGAATAACCTGTGACACTTTGGTATGTTTCCCTCTCAGAAAATGGACCGCAATAATGACGGAGTAGTAACCATCGAGGAGTTCATCGAGTCGTGCCGGAAGGTAGACGCTCGGAGCTTGGGGCCCTGCTGTTTTAGACTGATTATGCATTGTCCTTTCGGACCCTCCTCGTTGGGGGCCCCTCTCACTTTTGCCTGTCTCTGTGTCCCCCACTCTTTAGGATGACAACATCATGCAGTCTATGCAGCTTTTCGACAGCATCATCTAGATCCCGTCACCATGGCGATGGCTGAAGCATGTGGGCAGGCGAGCCCCATGCATACGGACTGACCCACAGCACCTCATACAGCCATAGCTAGAACCCCCTCCCCCCCTTCCATGGGTCAAGGGCATTTTTCCATTCAGTTCATCTCATCGCCAGAGAGACAGGCGAGCCGAGGCCAGCAGTTGGGAAACGCTCTTGTGTGTGGGATTCTCTTTTCTTTCTGATACCTGTCCATGTTAGGAATGCTGGCCTGGCAGCAGGACCCCAGTGCAGAAGTATCAATCAGCAGCAAACAGCGCTATAAATTATCTCCGATAAGGAATTCCCAGCTTACCCTGAATTGCATGCTGTTTGTGATCACACACCATGGTGCAGCGCATTGACCTTTTCACCCCAGATTCTTATGTAAGAGGCCCAGAGGACGATGAAGGATTCACCTCTATGGTCTGGTCCAGATGTGTCAAAACTGCATGTTATTCCTAACTCTAACCCGTACGGGACCGCCATAATGTGCGAGATGGGAGTCACCCTTTTTTGGCCATGGGATTGGTGTCTGTGTAAGGGCCGTGCATTCAGACGGCAAGACTCTCGTAGTGAGTGAAGGACCGTTTGTGTGGAAGTGACAGCTTATCCTGCAGCCCGCCCTAAGGGTGGTGTTCTGGGGTTAGGGGGCAAGCTGCGAGGTCCAGTCAGACACACTCTGGATCACAAACGGCTTCTTATTTAGGGATCAGGTCCAAGCCAGAGGGCACTGTTCATCGTGCTGTTTTTGAGATTTTGGAAAACCCATCTAACCAAGTAAGACAGGTAAACAGTCACCGCTTTTTTCTGTATTAGCACAGGGGAAGGTACGCCAAATGCTTGCTAACTAACTTCACGACTGACCAAAAGTGGCCCCTGTATATATCTGCATGTAAGCTAGACAAAGGCCAGCTGCATTTACTGTGTCCAATGAGCCTAAGAGGATGCTTGGTGTTTCTTGGCCATATTTTGTACAGATATAAAAATAAAATCACAGCTGCTATGCTTCTGCGTGACTGTGTCCCTTAGAGGCAAGCTGCTCTCTGTCGTGCTAGGACTGAACGATTCATCAATTTCAAATCGAAATTGCGATTTGAAACAACATGATTGTTGATGAAGGGCTGTGATTTAGGGTATGCAGCATATAGCAAGTCCGACCCAGGGTTTAAAATTGCCATGAGAGTTTTACAAATCTATGCCGTCCTCCTTGTGTGACAGTCATTCTTACCAATCAGAAGTGGCCCAAGGCAACTGTGTATACGCCCACAAACGGCAAATACATGAAACTCGAGGAAAACCTTACATTCGTGGTGCGAAAAATATTGATTCCTCTGCTGAGCTGTAAGTGAATTACCTGCCTGTTTCAGGGTCAGAGATTGTTTACAGAAAGGCCCTATTATTAGGAGTCCAAGCAGCATTAGCAGCAGATCTATATATTTTTTCTTACTGGAACTGTTTTGTTTTCATTAGTTTATTTAATACAAGAGCAGGAAAAGTAACATGTGCAAAATTCTAAGTGCAAATTTTTTATTTCTCACGTTCACAGAATAAGTAATAATTTAGCTCTTCAGCAGTGTTTATACAGATTTCTAACTGTAGTCTCTGAAAACCTTTACTAGGCCTGAGAGGACGGAGCTGCAGTCAGATTGATGGGCTAAATGTTAGATCTGAGGGCCCAAGACAACGGGGAGATCCCACCCCCCGACTGAAATCATCACCACCCGTCATAAAAGCACTGCGCCCGTGGCCCTTATTTCAGAATAAGTCCTGCATGGATAGAGGTGTTCCACACCCAGCTGCAGTTAACAGACTGAAGAAGGATCTGAGATGGCAATTTAAATACCAAAGGTGGAGTGATTCATTATGTGAGGAAAATGGCTGAAAACAAGAATGGGGGGTGGGTCCATCCTGGTCACAGCAGTCGGTGGCAGCCCAGCACCAAGGGCGAGTCAGGCATTCACTTGACCACCCTGCGCAGCTCAGCAAGGACCCAGATGGCCAGCGTCAGCAATGCCAGCGAGCCGGACTGGTGAGTCACTGCCAAAGGTGTGGGCACATACAGGAGCAGAGTGCTGATGCCCAAGCCAACCTGAGAACACGTTGGGCAGAGTGCACACGTGAGCCCCCTTTAACAATTATACGGCACAGCACTGCTGTAATCAAATCTTCCCAATGGGGCATTTGTGCAAACCCACCTGGGCGTAGGCCACGGCCAGCAGGCAGCTGAGGGCCATCTTAGCCCTTCGGGGCAGCAGCAGCTTCCTGGAGAATAAGTAGAGACCCGTAATGGCTGTCACCGTGGCGATGCCCTACAACCAAACACAGAGACACCTTCTGGTCAACAGCCTCCCCTCCCGGTGTTCGAGGGCTGCAGAAGCCAGACACTGACCAAGACACGGTGGTCAAACTGCACGGTGGTGGGGTTCTCAAAGAAGTTCCTGAGCGTGGGGGAGAAGGCCAGCAGGTCGTCGGGGATCCAGCGATCAGCCATCTTGGGGAAGGAGTTGTAGACCAGGCCAGCATCCAGGCCAGCCACAAATGCCCCTGGAAACGGTGGCACTGTCAGTCACTAACCGGTGCAAGATGACCACTGCCTTTGGTTCATAGGCATTTGGTTCAGCAGCGACAGGTTAGCTATAGCTGTCACATTTTACAATTAAATGTCAAATATTTAACACTGACTGGAGAATCATGGCTGGTTAATCCAGACACAGAAGTAAAAGACCAGCAAGAGGGATGCAGGCTCAGGCACCACCATGCGGATTCCCATGAGTTTCCAGAACCTCCTCACCTGATAGGGCTGTGAGGAAGACCAGCCCTCCTGTCCCACGGGCAAGCCGACGGAGCGTGGTAAGATGGCGCGAGTCTGGCAGCTTCCAGGAGCGGGACAGACATCAGTGTTAGGTTTTAGATTTACAAGTGTGGATGACCAGGCCTCAGAATGAATGGGGCGGAGGGGAGGGGAGGTACCTTCTGCGCGGGCAGCATCAGGGACAGCCCTGTCCAGAGACTGGCACAGTACAGCAGGAGCGCCGAGCCCAGGTGAGCCGCTAGCCGGTACTGGCTCACACGTGGCACATCGTAGGACTCTGGTTTATCCTCCAAGCCACTCTTCACCATGTACCAGCCCAGCAGGCCCTGGATGTCGGCGAACACCACGATCAGTAGGACCCTCCTGCCTGACAGGAGCAGGTGTGTCACACCTTGTCAGGCCACTTCATTGCTAGTTAACTGGAATAACCTCTCTCCGTGTCCAGTGTTAAAACCCAGTGAGCAGCTATTTAAATTAACTAAGACCGTTTGCCGACAATCCACAAGCACAGAGCAGGTCTGGTTCACTGGAACTCATGCACAGCTGCTGCCCCCACCACGCCAACGGGACGCCCAGCCATACCTGGAATGTGACCAGACCAGAGAGGCCCAGCACGCAGCCCTTCATAGAGCGTGTGAAGTAGCCCCTCCTCCAGAAATACACCATGGGCAGGATGTAGGCCAGCCCCACCAGCCGGCCCCACATCCGATGTCCCCACTCCATGTAGAAGATAGCCTTGAACTCTGATAGGGTCATGTCATGGTTCAGTCTGCACAAAGACAAGGACCAGCTGACCACCCTCTCTGTGTACTTACTCCATGTAGACCAGGGTTATTCAACTCATGGTCCTCGAGGTCCGAACACTGCTGGTTTTCCAGCCTTCCTTTACCTGTCAGTCAGGTGTGAAGCCTCTGACCAATCAGAATCAGTAATTATTAAACAACTACCTGGGGGAACTGAAAACATGGCCTGGATTTGGAATCAAGGTCCAGAGTTGAAGAACCCTGATGTAGACCACAGCTTTGCTGTTATCCATGCACAGGTGTAATGAGTACAGACTTGGGAGCTAAGAGAGGATAATTTTCACATTCTCCACTCACATTTTAAACTCTGGGTACTGCTGGTACTTCTGGAACTCTGCCTCCCACTCGGCATTTGTCTGTGGGGGCTTCATCTCTTTCACCAGGTGCCAGTCCACCATGGACAGACCGGATTCGGTCAGCCTGGTGACAGGAGCAAGCACAGTAGATAAGCAGATTTATGTTCAATGACACCTCCCTACATCAGTCAAGCAGCACCGTAAAACACGAGTTGATAAACAGTGGTACTAAACACGGGGAATGTAGATGGGAAAATTCAAAACTAACCTGGTGACTCCACCAAGGACCACGGCTCCAACCACCAGGCCGCTGCAACCCACCAGCCATCTCCCGACAATGCGATTAGTGGCTGCGTTGGGCACCGAAGCAGCCGTTGGCAGAACCTGGGCTGTCACAGAGGAGCGTCCCCTTTGAAGAAGACGCTGCCAAAACAGAGCCAGCATCAGCCTATCGCAGCGGGCTGATCTGCTACCCACTCCAAGTTCGATAATATAACATGGGCTGACACCAGAGACGCAACTATGTCAGTCAACGAAACAGTGGTTTTGGAATTAAATCAATGCGTCTTAGCGCGGGAAAAGAATGGAATCTGTTGAGAGCTAGTGCCGTATAATGTAGTAAAAGTAGCATCTTCATTTACGACACGATAGACGGAAATTTCAAATAAAGCAGACATATATAGAATTATACGTATTTACCTGCAGCGGTATACCCTTCAAGGTAGGTCGGCAACATTGACGTGACACAACCGTTCGCAAAAATGGAAGAAACATACTGAGAAACTGCTAATAGTAACGAATTATAGGACGGACATGTTTCAGACCAAAGTCAGAGCAGCATGGACTGGCTTCCGCTGCACGTCGCCGCGTAACCCCGCCCCCAACAGCCACGCTTCCGCTGAGCGTCGCCGCGTAACTCCGCCCCCTCAACGCCAACGTCAGTGTAGGTGCCCGTTGAAATCCCTGTAAAAGAATCTGTATACCTATTTAGGAATTAACATTACAAAAGATGTGAGGTTCATTTTCAACCTCTCATTGAAAAGACGAAAAAAATACTAAACCAGTGGCTTCAGAGAGATTTGCCCGTTCTTTTCTTTGCAAAAAAGGTTTGTCTAGGTTAGTAGGCTTATATATGTAAATTAGTAGACACTAACTTTTTATGGAAAAACAAAATCCATTACATTAAAAATCCGCTGTTATGAATAGCTATGATAAAGGTGGTCTTAATTTTCTAGCTTTTGATAGTCTAAATAATACCTTTAAAATCAATTGGATAAAAACAGTTTCTACGCAATCATACCTACATTTGGAACCATATTCCTGCTTATATTTTCTCTCAAGTTGGTGGCTTAAAATTCTTGTTACTATCATACTATGTGATTACAAACCAGAAAAACTTCCTCTTAAACTTTTACAGTTCTATAAACAGCTGTTGTTGTCTTGGTCTTCAATTCACAAACACAATTTTTCTCCTCATGATTACTTTATTTGGAATAAGTTCCACATGTTGGCTTTCAAAAACAAATCTCTGTTCTATCTACAATGGTTTAATGATGATATTCTCACAGTCAGACAACTTTTCAGTTCAAATGGTTCTTTCATGCACTACAAGTTTCTATCCACTTTTAAACTTTCATGTTCACAAAGAGAATTTAATATTGTTAGAGATGCAATTACAGATGGGTTAATTACCCGGCCAGTCAGCACAAGTATGTCGGCGATATGTCGCTGATATGTTTTTTGAAAGGTCGATCGGTATCTTGTAGCATTTCAGTCGTTTGCACATTGGCACTACGTAGCGGTGATGAAACAGCTCAGTCCAGGCGATGTAATCGCGACGTTTTCCGTCTCAACAGCGAGGAAAACAATACGTCTAACTGGAACTCCGCGATGATTCCCCGACCCTCTTATTATCCTACGATTGCCAATAATTCTAACAGGTTTGGATGCTGTTCAACCGAATAGTTACTTCAGCATTAGTTCAAATACAAGAGCTCGTGGCCATAGGTGGAAATTAGCGGGAGAACATTTCAAACTGGATTTAAGGAAGCACTTCTTTACACAGCGTGTAGTCAGAGTATGGAATAGTCTTCCTGATAACGTAGTGCAAGCTGAATCCTTGGGTTCCTTTAAATCAGAGCTAGATAAGATTTTAACAACTCTGAGCTATTAGTTAAGTTCTCCCCAAGCGAGCTCGATGGGCCGAATGGCCTCCTCTCGTTTGTATAGTTCTTATGTTCTTAATTATTTCAAAGTTTGCTTTAGTGTTGAACACGTATTGATACTAATATATATTTATTTATAATATATATAAAAAATACAAAGATGTTCGTTAAGAGGTTATATTTAAAAAAAAAATATATATATATAAAATGCACACGTTACAAAAATAAAAAATACAGAAAAATTAAAAAACTGAAGAAAAAGAGCTATCGGACAGGCCTGGTCAGCCTGTCACGAGCCATTCTTTGATGGTCGTTTCAGCTTCAGCCTCATTTGGACTAGACACCAGTGGGTTTCGTAATGCAGACTCTAAAAAACAGAACAGACACAATTCACTTACATTAGACCTTATTAAATGGAAATGTCAATCATGAACAGGTGAGTTTATTGTTATTTCTTTACGTTGTGATTGTTCACTTTTTATCTGCAGTCTGAAAAAAAGCAACTTTGGGCATTAAAACCAATGAAAACTATGGGAAAGAATTATGTAACGTGCATGGGGAGGTTAAATCCATATTGTGTTTAAACCTTTAGGATAAAAACTTTATCCTGAAAGGTCTAATTTTACTTTTGCTTAAACATTAGTTTTACTTACGGATAATCACATCTATGATGTTTGTATTCCTCATCGGTGTTTTGTCCCCTCTGCCACACCAGTTTAAATGAACTGCCAACTGGGGAGCAAACACCTTTCCACAGATCTTCCAGACTGTTTTCTTTAGTGTTTGACCCCAGCCAGTGACAGTTTGGAAACCTGGAGGTGACAACAGATGTTTGGTCATACAAAATTTATTACATACATTTGGGTAGTGTGTATATATATATATAATATGATATAAGTATATATTATATTTCTTAGTATCCATGTATTAGCTATGTATAAGGTAGTTTTCTAAAACCATAATCATACCAGTTTGTTCTTAAAGTCAACATTTCACAACTGCATTTCAATGTTCTTCAGCTCCTCAATGTCATACAGTGGAAGTCCACCATCCTCTGCACACTGAAAAAATAATAGATTCTTATAGAAAGACCTGTAAAAAGTATTTTAAAAATCTTTGTAATTAAGTTAATAGTAATTCACTTAGAAATATAATTGGTATGAAATATAAACTTAAATACACCTTGAAACTTTATTATTTAGACTAGGAAAAAAAATAAACATTTCCAAAATCAATCTAAAATAATTTAATTCAAATAGATCATAAAGCAATTTTGTACAGTGCACTTGCCATTGTTAATGGTGTGTCTGCAGGACTGTTACCCAAAAATGGAGGTCTTTGGGTAACAATCTCTGTCGGGTGTTGGACCTGGCTCTGCAACCCCCAACATTTGCAGAAGGATCCTCTCTGTTGCTGTAAGGTCAACAATAGAGTCTGTGCAATACACAGCCTCTGTGTGACAAAAGCACAGACTGTCAATAACAGTAAAATTGATTCCACATATGTCAATGGCGAAATACGAGTCAAATCACTGCCATAAACACCTTTAAAAAATGAACAATTATAACATTTAATCCAAAACACACAAAAAGCGCACAGGCTAGATACCAAATTAAATTATTAGCTGCAAATGTACCCCAGAGGAGTAAAAATTTGAAAATTTCAGCAGCAATGTATGTCTCTTACCAGAAATCACACTTTGTAGTAAGCAGTACCCTAACACACTGTTTGGAGTAATTTCGTACCTTAGAGGGGTTTAAAACTCCATTTAACTGTACTAAATAGCAACATATCATGGCGAAATCAACAAAACTAAAAGCTGTTCAGATTAATTATAATTGTATAATTGTTATTCTGATATTCTAATTATTGCCATACAGTCACATGACCTTTCACCACGTGCAGATTCATTTCATTTCCACCACTCTGTCTGGGTACTTAACTTTTTTAGTTATTTTTTATTTTTTTAATCTGTGTTGATAAAATTTGATCAAATTTGGATGGCATCTGGTTTGTGTTAATATTTCGTTTATTTTTACTCTAAAATATAATAAAAACATTGACGTATGAGCTGAAGAGGAAAAAGTGTGGACAAAAAAAAGTGTATTCTCGGGTAAGTAAAAGCATACAGTAAATCGCTGGCTTATTATTCATCATATATTATTGTATACACTCGGCTATCTTAATATTGTTCTATTACGTTAAGCCATTACTTTGTTCTGTGTCGTAATGTTGACGTTACAGTGCTGTGCCTGGTTTTCTTATTACAATGAATTTGATTTGATTGCACATAAGTGAATGTTTTATAAGTAAATTGCAGATGGAATTATTTGCTGTTGTATTATATTTACTGACTAGGTCAACCACTCCCAGAGAACCTGCATTACTTCCACAAGAACTGTGTTTCTTGTCAAGAAAGTTGGAGAAGTGACATAGCCCTCATCCACATTTCTACTGTTTTTCAGCTAAAATAAATGATTTTTTTTAGCCAACATAGTAGTGATTGGTTTACTTTATTTGTTTTGGGAAGGATATCTTCCAGGTAGGACAACGATCAGAAGGATGTTTATGTCTAGAGAGGCAAATAACATTTATTTGTTTGTAAAATAAAAGTGATGGACAAAATAAAGCAGTTTCCCAACAGCAGCCCTGCCTTACATTCCAGCTCTGAGAAGCTCACAACTTCCTTGTGTTTGCTGGGTTAGTCTCTAGACCAGGGGTCACCAGCCTTTTTGAAACTGAGAGCTACTTCACGGGTACTGAGCCATACGAAGGACTACCAGTTTGAAACACCCTCCTAAACTTATCTAAACTTCATGTATAATAAACATGTTTTAAATGCTTTTTTTTATATATCGTAATTTTCAAATCTATATGACTGCAAATGTGACTGAAGAAGAATAGCAACAGGATAAAATTCAATTTTAGACACTGCTCACTGGTGAGTTGTGAATTTTTAGTCCACGGGCGACTCATGTGGTCCTTGGGGGCATCCTGGTGCCCGTGGTCACCATGTTGGTGACCCCTGCTCTAGACAAAGTGCAAACCTGTGCAAGGTCTCAGTGTGGAAGACAAAAGGATGGACCTCAGATAATGGTGAATCCAACTGTTCATGCTGAATCCAATTAAACATTCAAATATAGTTTAGGATTATTTAGAACACTTTACAGTGGTAAGCAAGGAGGCATAGAACACAGAGGTTATTATTTACAGTTTATTATTTATTATTTATATGTTCATATTTCTATATACAATTATACAAGTAAAAAACAAAACAAAAAATATTTAAGGGCCCAGGAGAGAGGCCGTCGCTTTGAGGAGGTGAGGTGGGTCACAATCCACGGACACCATGTTTATATGGCCTCCAGGGTGGAGCGCTCTGAAAAGCAGAAATAAAAATGTCCTTGGTTAGTGTGACACATAAAGGAATACAACATCCACATACACCCCCCGTGTGGCCATTGGGAAATCAACGTCGATCCCTCACTGCTGCTGCTGCCACCCCGTACCTGCTGCCCCCCCTGCCTGGCCTGAGACCATATACACACCTATACAGCACTGGCTGCCCAACCTCCCCATACAGCTAAGTGTGCTCCTTTAAGCTCATTCTCTTCCACTGTGCCTCTAAGGCCTGCCATGACTTCTGCTTTAGTTTCCACTCAAAGTCCCCCTCTAGCACCTCCCGCTCCCTTACCTGTCCATAGTTTAGACTTCCCTCTTGGCAGTACATCTGAGAGCTCTGACGTCTCTGTCTTGAGCTGACTGTACCCTCTCATTTTGTTGCTCCAGCGCTGAAACATTGTTATCGGCCATCCTAAAATGTCAGTCCTTCTCCTCTCGGTCTTTTGCAACTTTACTGACTGACACTTCTTCAGTAACCTCAGTGTCTTCTTAAAAAAGCCAATCCCCTTCCTCCTCATTTTGTCCTCCTCAAGGTCAACTATCAGTGGGATTTTCATTGATCCCTTCCTCTTGTATGAGTAGACCTCACTCTCCATCTCCATCTGTTCTCCTAGTTCACACCTCTTCTCCTCCTCTCTCCTTCCACTCATGTTCTCATTTTTTGCCTTGTCTTTCTTCTCTTTCTCTCTCATGGCCACAATCTCTTCTTGTGTGCACTTATTCAAAAACCGCTGGATTTCCACTTCCAGCTCAGAACCAGAATTTTCTAAATCTTCTAATTCATGCAATATAAAATCCACCATCTCCCTCAGTTTCTCCTCTCGTCTTTCCTCCAAGAAATCACTCAGAGTTTTCACTTCCATTATGAATCTGAGGGTACAAGACAAGCAGCCATTTACGACCTGTCCTAAACCGAAGACTCTGCTAATTAGGCACCCTCACAAATGAGTGTGCAAACTGCAAACATGCAGTTTGCACACTCATTTGTGAGGGTGCCTAATTAGCCTTGGAGGTGTGAAGCTATCCAGTGAGCCAATGCACCTTTCGTATGCCATTCATATTTTGCATATTAATTACGCACAATATATTGAGTTATTGAAACGTAGTATATTTAAGTATTATTTAAAACATTATTGACCATATCAATCTGCTTCTCTAAAAGATTTTCTTCTCAGTTAAACAGTATTACCATATAAGTTGGACTGTACTCAACGCTGTCTTCGGATCAGACTGAATAATTCTTCACAGGTGCGCTTTATGTAGACCGGAGTCTCTGTTGAAGCGTACTAGAGATTTAAAAAAATATCACGGCTGTCCAGGAGTTCTAGAACGATCGTGACGTGGCCCAGTGGCCACGTGCCATCTGAAGCCGCGTTATATAAAAGCAATAAAAAAAATAAAAATAAAAAAAACGACAGTTGAGGAAACAATAAATAGAAAATAAAGTTATTTGTAGTAATAAAAAAAAAAAGCCGCGTTATTTTTTAAATCTCTAATACGCTTCAATGGTTCCGAACAACCCCGCGCTGTCTAGTTCTCTATTAATTGAGAGGAGCGAATGCAGTTTTAATCGGCGAATATTAAAATATTAATGCAATGACACGATTGCGCCTGTAGGTGGGGCTCATTTAGCGACGGTTACCTTCAGAACTTCGTTTGGCTTTCGATTCGTATTAACTGAACACAATTCTACTTGTTGCCACTTTGAGGAAAGTACATATCTGGGCAGTTTCAGTAATAGTATGTGTGTATTTTATCAGAAAATGGGACAAACGCAAACGTATTTCCACTTCCAATCAGGCCCGGAAATATACCCAATCAGGCAAATATCAACTTCTAAGTACAGTACACGTCATGTATCCCACTATATTAGTATATAGGAAAAGTGACATTGTCCTGGCCCAGACTGATTTAATACTTTAAATATCAGATGGAAACAAGTAATGTCATACTATAGCGCACAAAGGTATGAATGAGAAGGCAGGTTTCCATGCCCATTTTAATACCTTAAACCTATATAATGCTTCAATTCTAACTGAAAAGAAGTAAAAGAGGGTTTCCTATGAAGACATTTACTTTTATGAATGTGAAACTTGGCTAATAAAAGAATGAGATTCATCAAGTACTCATGTGGACTGTGAAGATTCTTGATGATCACAAATAATACGTCTCCACAAAACAGCAAAATCAACCATAATAGCCACAGAAATAACAAACATTTTGCCAAAAAGAATTTACATAACGACATTTCCAACATGAATGAACAAGAGTCTCTGGACAATCGTTGCAAAATGTACAATCTATATAAATTTTTTTGTTAAATCTAGAAAAAAAAATATTTAACTGGGTAAATTTTATGGATAAGCTTAAATTACACTTCTTTTACTTTATTTGTAATTAAAAAACGACGAGGAATACGCCACACTTTTTTCCATTCAATATTATCTACTAGTCTGATACATTCATTGTGACCACATCTTTTTGAAATAAAGATGTAACAGATTTATTAGTTTTAGATGGATAGGAGGAGAAATTTTACCAACAGGAGAGTTTATTGGAGTAAGGGATGGAAGTTGTGTGTTATTTAATCGTGTCTGATGTTTATATAATGCACATACCCCTGATGGAATAGCACCAAGGACTTTTGCATATTACCCGGGTGTTACAGCAATACCATAACAATTAAGATAAAAACTCATCATACGAAAAAGCCATTAACATTAAATAACTGATCCACTAATATAATGCCATTGGAAAACCAATGTTCTACAAAAAGAGACTTATACTATATAGAATATGCTGATTGTTCCATATGAAGTATGTATGGGGTGAGAAATTGTCTTTGTAAATTAAAGTCCATGTTAAAAAGGCCTGACAGTGAAAGTCTTAATGTTTAATAGGGATTTTATTGACATTGTAATTACAATTAAATTAAAAATCTCCCAATTTAGATGAAATATGAAATGGAATGATATTCCAAATAGAGTTTGCATTTCTTAACAGTTGGTTAATCCAGTTAATTTTGAGTGTGTTATTTAAAGAAGGGAAATATAACAAATTAAGTCCACCATTCATAATAACTGGTCTTTTTAATGTAAATTGTCTTATTCCTCCATAAAAATTAAGCAACAGTTTGTCAATTTCTTTACATACATTCCTGTCAAGATATAAAGAACTCATGGCCATAGGTGGAAATTAGCGGGAGAACATTTCAAACTGGATTTAAGGAAGCACTTCTTTACACAGCGTGTAGTCAGAGT